TGAAATGTATATTGTGAAGCTCAAGTAGAATTTATTTATGAAGAGTTTTATAGAAGCAGGGCAAAAAACACACACAATAGATAAAACATGAATGTTAAGCAAATAAATGTGTGGATGATGAGAAAGAAAAGTAAGATGAGGTACTTTTGGCATTTTACTTTAGTAATTCCATTTTATGCTACGTCTATACTCCACTACATTGTGGAGGCAAATATTCGTTCTTCCACTAGTTATTTTAACGATCAAGGTTTAACATGCAAAATAATGTGATCCACTTATAAATTAAAGAAACCAAATGTATATAAAGTTGTTAAAATTAACTTTACTTCTACCAGCTACTACATAAGAGGTGCTGCAGACACAGAAATGCATCCATAGTAATAATCTAAAAATATAATATAACATTGATGGGGGATTCTGCTGCCCAATGAGTACTTTTACTTTTAAAATTTTAAAGGTGCGATGTGTAAGATTTGAGACTACTTTCGAATTCATACTCCCAAAAATAGGAGGGCAGTATATCACATATCAGGTCATAACTGCTGCTAATTAGCTAGTTAGCTCAGTTAGCTGTGCAGTATCAACTTAGTTACTTTCTGGTGGTTACGCTTCACAGAAACAGCTAACACTAATTACATTTACTCAAGTACTGTACAAATACCTTGAGTATGACCTTTTCATGCCACTTTTTTACCTCTACTTCACTATATTCCAGAGACAAATATTTTACTATTTCCTCAACTATATTTATTTACTTTTCAGATTTAGATACAAAACATATGATAGAATTATAAAATGTCATTGTTCTTTACAAAAAAACTATTTAATTATTTATTTAAACTAATTGATTAATCAGTTTGAGCTCTAGTCAATTAAAAGAAATTAACATGCAACAATTTTCATAACTGATGAAGAAAAATGTCTTGACTATTTTCTGGTTCCAGCTTCCCAGTTGTGAGATTTTACTGCTTCTCTGTTATTAACTAAAATTCTTTGGGGTTTTTTGATTGTATTTTGAACAAAACAAGACATTTGAACACATCATCTTGGACTCTGATGGACAGTGTTTGCTATTTTTTGACATTTTATAAACTGAATTTTTAATCAGCTAATTGAAAAACAAAAGCTTGTATTTCAAACAGTTAAAATGAGCTCTCTACAATACTAACACTCACAGGACCCATTTTCTACATTAAATACTTTTACTTTTACTTGAGTAACACTTGTAATGGAGTCTATTTACAGTTTGATATTGCAGCTTTCACTTAAGTAAAGGATCAGAGTACTTCTTCCACAACCAGTGATTACATACGTTTGACTTTAGACCGTTTTAGTTAACCATTAAAGTGATGGCATGTTGCGTCTGATCCCCACTGTGTACTCACCAGGCAGCAGCATCACAGCCAGCAGAGTGGTAATGAACACACCGGAGAAACTGGTCCTCTTCCTTTCAGCCATGACTTCACCTTCTCCTCTCCTGCCAATGCCAAAGACAGACATTCAAAATGATTCTTTAGTCCCAAAACTTCCCACTCCATCATTTTCCATGCTTTAAAATCTGAGCACACAACAGATATTTTTAGCATTTTGTTAGTTGATATCACCAATCTATCTTTCAAAAATGATGTTTCTGTATGTACACACATTTTTATTGATTTTTGCTACAGTGAAAGGGTTAGGATTCACTCAGCCAGGGTAGTAAAATAAAAAGGGTATATATTAGTTAAGCTATTTTTAGAGACAGTTCTTCTCCAAGCAAGTGTCCAAAAAGATGTTTGGTTACCTGCAAGAGTGTCCAGAGAAACTTACAAACCGTATAAGTCACTGGTGGAAGGTGCTAGTTTTCACCTGGAGAGCTGCTGAAGTGACCCCTGCAGCTTGGAAGTGAACTCTGATTTGGAGGCTTTAAAACAAACGTGTTGCTACAGGGCTCCTGTCTGAGCTAAAGCTACCGGTTTGTCATCGTAAAAACAGAGCTGGGTGTTGCTCAGCGGCCAAACTTGACTTCAGCCTGAACTTGAATCCCTGGTAAGTACCTAAAAGTAAACATGCAGAGGTGCAGAGTCACCAAAGTGTCTTACCTGTGGTTATCTTATTGGCGTGTCTGTCTGCGGATCCAGATGTGGACTCAAATGAAGCCGACAGGCCGGATGACTCAGTCCACCTGGGCTCAAACACTAAGTTTGTGTGGTGAATGGGGGGGGTATGATAGAGGTTCCTAGTGCACCCTGTCCCTGTGGCCCTTCTGACAGACTGTCCTGACGAAGGGATCTGAAGAAGGTTTTAAACTGAACTCTCACACAGAGAGAACACATGCAGGGACAACCTGAGGGGGTCAAGGGCCACCTCAACAAGATGTCTGATAGGTCCGAATTTTCAGAAGGTTTCAGCCAATTGGAGGCACCGTAATAAAAGACAGGAAAAGAGAGAAGGTGGGAGGGCTAGAAGCAGAGATGGAGACGTGGAGAAGTAGTAGTTCACTCAAGTGTTGTTGTTTTTTTAGTTAAAAAAAACAACACGATTGATAATTAATTCTGTGAGTCATGTTTAATGTTAGAAATCACACTCTGGATCTTTGTTTGTGGGATGGGAGGTGCAACAATCACAAACAAAAAGTGTTTCAGAAAGGTACAGAAAAGAGAAAACATCAGGAAATAATGAAGGGGAGCTGAGGTGCCACATAAGCACTTCTCAGAGACCCTCAATGAGGGCCAAACCACAGCTTCTGTCTAAACCTGAACACACACACATGCAGGGACAGCTGGTCCACACATGAGGAATTTGATAATCTACAGTTTCCTCCTTTAAATGTGTTCAGACATGCCAGCAACAGACAGCGGTTTTAGTGAGACTCAATATAGCTGTGATGGGTGATGCACTATCAGCACATCTGACTGAATAAGCCTGTAATTCCTTTATGACACTCTGTCGTCTCGAGTCCACGCCGACTTCTCAGGGGGTTTTATTAGATTTTCACTTTAACACAATATCTGCTTTCTCACACTAAGTGATTTAACTCAAAATAAATCACATTTGTTGAGGACGCAATTTGTTTTTAAACATTATTTTAGTACATATTAGAGAGAATACATTGTTAAAATTTTCTTTGGATGTATTGAATTTTGGAAAATGGCTTTTATGCAAACACAAAGACTAAACTTCTTTATTTCCATGTCAGCTGAGACACATTGCTAACGTGTAGTCAGAGTACTCTGTGTTATATTAGGGCTTTTTCTTAATCATTGGGCATCAATCTAAGCATAAAGGAAAGTTACGGGGCTCTTTATATCAAGAGTTGAACATTCAAAAACTCTGCTAATCAGAACTATGTGGGTCTGGAAACATGTGAACTGTAATCACATTTCAATTTAAATATTGCTTAATTATATATATATATCTCACCGTCTTCCAACCAAGCCCCAGCCATGTCAAACCAGCAACAAATGTCATGTGAAACGACAGACCAAAATTAGAACCATGTGTGTTAGTAAGAAGCTGGTATGATATGTTTTCAGGCCGTTCTAAAGGTAAATTTTTGATAATTGGGAATGGGAAGGAATGTCACAGAGTGCTGAGTGTTGGGACGGGGAAGCCATCTTGGGAGTTATGCGCTCTGTACACCTGTGAGCCTCCTGGTTGTTATGGTGGTTGTTACCTGATTAGCTTTAGTTTGGCCACAAAGTCGTACAATCTGACGTGGGGAAAGAAAAAAGGAAAGGGACCCTACTGAAAGGAAAAGCGGTGAACTGGCAACAGGGTGATGGGTGGCCAAGGCTCAATAATGCACGTGGCTGGCCCATGTGGTCCCATCCAACAGATTGCTGGTCAAATTGCTGAAAAAGTTGATGCTGGTCGTGATAGAAAGGTCTCAGAAAACATGTCCATGTCTCAAAGGGTCAGGGCTGTTTTGGCGGCAAAAGGGAGACCTACATGACCAGCGGGTGGTCATAATGTTATGGCTGATTGGTGTATTTAGTTATGTTGAGTACAGATTAATAGAGAGATGACTGAAAAGGGCAAAAACATCTTATAGTATCTTCAACCAAGTCTAGTTGTCCTTGACTTTAACCTGCCTTGGATAACTATGACCTGAACTCTTCACAGAGTCAATGGAGACATGATTTTACAGATTAGTCCCACAGTGCGTGCACAAAAACAAAAAGCAGCAGGGTCCTCACAATATGGTGGCAGAAAAATGTTACCCGTAACTCAGCACGGACTGATGCCAACTTCACATTTCCTATATCCTGTTCTTCCAATTTCCGCAAGGCAGCAATTCTAGGAAGGTTCCTTTCTTGTTTGAACATGACAGGTAAGTTCATAAAGAAAAGCTTCTCCCAGTTTGGTGAAGAACTTGACTGGCCTTCACACCTTTTTAACACCTTTGGGACAAACTGAAACACCGACTGTGAGCCACACCTCGTCACCCGACGCCAGTGTTGGACCCCTGCAGCGTGGAGGCTGTTAAAGCAGCAGATTAATGCCACCGCTTTAGAATGAGGGGCTCGACAATCACATATAGATGTAATGTTGAGGCGTCCACATACATTTGGCCATGGACTGAAACCTTTAAACTGTAATCACCTGCATCCTCTCGAAAATAAAGACACTGGTTTAAAATGGTTTTATCTTCTCTGCTTATGATACTTGACTGCATCTCTATAGCCTTCGGCTCGATGACAGCAAAACCATTTTATTGCCCGAGTCTGCAACTGAACGGCAACGCTTTATTTGCTTGTGTTGTTTTTTTAAAACATTGCATTTTTGCAGCCCCTTTCCTGTCCCATCGTGTCCCGACTGAACATTTAGTGGTCATGTTAACACTGTATCTCATATGTAATTAACATTTGTTAACAGGTGTTTTGCAGAGCCCGCAAACCTACAATCGAGCCGGGAGCAGATTCAAACACGACAACGCCAAAACCATACTCATAATTTTCTCCAACGCTGGAATGTGAGGGATTCTTAGAATTCACAGACACCTGGATGGACAAGACAGCTTTTGTTTTTGTAAAAACGAGAAAGTCTTTTATTTCAGAATGGTGGTGAGTGACCTGTGAGATTGGGCGGGCTGTACAAATCAGAGAGAACTTGTAGTCAGAATAAGCCCGTCGTCATTTTCTTATGTACACGTTCACAGGTGTTCAGATGCTGCCGTCACTGCAGGTCATCGTCGTCGAACAGGTCCTCAAAGTCTGCAGGTGGAAAAGACAGAAAGAATACAAGATGGAAAGAAAAGAGAGACAAATAAAAAAGACAAGAACGGGGTTATAATTAGTCCAGCTTTTTCCCAGAACTCCTACATTTACAGTTATATCCAGGGTCTTTTTTAAAGATTTCAAAGCATGAAATCTTGGCAACTGTAAGTCCAGAATGTTTCTTCTATCTTTCCTTGCCGGCCGTGATTTATCTGTGACAACCACTTAAGCGATCTGTGCCCGATCAAGCCTCTCACCTCAAAGACACACACATATTACTTCGACCGCACTGACAGCCTCGTATCAAAAGGCTGCGAGTTTGACGTAAAGTAACATTTCGCGCTGTCTGCTGAATACTCCATGGAGAAACAGTTGTAGAGGATTTTTCAAACTGAGCTAAAAGTGGTTTAAGCCATATAGCAGTTATTCATGTAGATTTTATTCGGATGTATTTTCATAAATCTGCCAGAATGTCCATATAATAAAACTCATGCTGAACCAGACTTAACAAACTCTTTCTTTCATGTCTTTGTGGTTTCCAGGAACTAGGACATTACTCTGTTTTGCCTAATAAGGGACAGTCTACGAGTTAAACAGCTCGCCCCTTGGCTATTCACAACTCCTTGCAACTTTCAACACTGTACACAACCCAGTGCAGCACCAGCAAATGGGAGTCCTCTTTTACATACCTTATTTTCACAATGTGGTCTAAAAAAAAAAAATATTGGCCATGCTGACCTTTTTAAGACGACATAATATCATATCGTCATGTCCGCTTCAGGGCAGAGGGACACCTCATCCTTTAAGCTCAAGGAGCCACACTAAAGGGCAAAATTATCACCCTGGTTTTATAATCATGTCATGCTTTTTCATTCCTCTCTCGCTTTTTAGATGATCAAAAAATAGGACCTTCTCATAGTGTGAAATTCTGATCAGCGGAAGTGTTTGGTGCACCTAAATAAATGAGTCCCATCAGTGCTGACAGAGCAGCAGCCACTGAGAAATCCTTACATTACAAATCAACAATAACACATCATTCTTCCATATTTTGCACGTCAGTGTAATAATCTGTACTACCTGTTTCTGAATGAAACCTGGCATTACACTATGAGCACATTTATTGTTAGGGATGGGTGATGATCTATTAAATCATTAAAAAAAATCTATTGTCTTGCCTTAAATATATTTTATTTAGTTTTTACCTTTGGGAAAGCGTGTGTGGCACATTCAGTTCGGCTACAAAGCTGTGAGATGACCTAGAAGAAGGTTGTGTATTGTGTTCGCTGCAGCAGAGGCAATAAAGTTCCTGTTTACAGTGTGAACGCCACCACCATCCTTCATCAGCAGAGCAGTTTGGATCGCCAGTTTCCAGCTAAATACGTTAAGGTTACTCTCTCTGGCGCAACAATTAAGTGTGGGGAAAGGTGTGGTTACACGTTAGCAGCTACGAGGAAGGGTAAATCAGTGTAAGAAACCGGTGCACTTCCAGCTACAAGTTTGGGACCAAACATCTGGAGAAGGTAAAGCTGACATATCTAGAGCAGGGCCCTTAGGGGACTCAAATCCCTGTTAGTGCCACGGTAAGACGTGCCATACATGAGAAAGCACCGAATGTATGTGTGTGTGTGTGTGCGTTTAAAGCAGCTGACTGGCGAGGTGTCCTGCTGAGTTTAAGTCTAAGAGCAGCTATAAACCCACTTTACCATCCTCCTCTTCTCTTCCTCTCTTTTTAACAATCAGCTCTTTTCTTTTCTAGGTCATGTGCCGCTGAGCCAAAACTGTTTTTGCCTACAGCCAACGCTGCAAGACGGAAAAACAGATTAGCTTACTGCTTCTTGTGCGTCCATTGTGTTTATGCGTGTGCCTTCTCACATATAAACTGGTGTTTACAGGGGAGCAACAGAATTTGTGAGGGTTAATTTGAGAAGACAACGCGGTTAAGGCACAACACTGTATATTGTGCTTTCGTTTAAACTCCAGTTTTCATGCAGTTTGTCCATCTGCCTTTAACCTTTCACATTACTATATAATATTATATCAGTTTTAGAATATTTTATACTTAATATGTTCCATAAGAAAAGTCCCTAGTGATGTGATCCTGCTGATTGTTGGAGCTTTTAAACTTTGGAACAGTTCAGTCATGTGATTCAGCTTACAGTTTTGTTTAGTTTAAGCGTAAAAGAAAGCTTTACATAGCCAAATAATCAGTTTTCTCTAAAATAAATCCATGTGTGTTAGTCCCTTGATCATTAGGGGACAGCGTTTCTCATTTACATGACGTTACAGACGTCACATTACTATCTAAAACCAGCAATGTTCAGGTAACTTAAATACATGTCAACAACGCTGATAAATGTCCTTTCTTTAGTTACCTACACTTGGAACTAGGCAAAAGAGAGGTTTTACTTCTTTTGCTTCACACTTTTCAATCAGATATGATCATTAAAAAGGGGACAAAGGAGTTTTTGTTCAGCTTCTTTTGTTGCGCCATGCCATGTGGCTTTGATCATTTTAGTTTCAGTCGTGAAACAAGGGTAGGTTTATTTGTCACATTACAGCAGATTGTAAAGTGAAATTTAGTTTGTAAGTCCCTTCTGCTACAGCAGACACTATACAGTAATATAAAAAGCAATCATAAACATGGTAGATAGAAATAAACTCAGTCCAATAGAGCAGTGCTTCTGAAATTTAAGTTTATTCCTGAGACTGTTTTTATCCAGTGTTTCAACCAAAGTGCCACAAACAAACGAGAAATTTAAATTTAATTTCTGCTCAACTCTGCAAGCTTCTTCCTCGTTATTCTACTGCCATATTTAATGAGCAGATGACTTAAGTGGCGCACATTTGCGTTACAGTGGGAAATAGACTGTGACTTACCATTAAAGAAATCAGAGTGCACTGCTTTTTCATTGGCTGCCAGGTCCATTAGCAGGCCGCTGCTGCCTCCTGCCTGTTAACACACAGCGGTACAGCCAGTTTTATGGCATTAGCAGATCACACACACACACACACACACACACACACACTCACACACTAGTTTGAATGTAAACAATACAGAGAAGCTACTAGGGGACACAAGGATCAACAATTAAACATAGACAATATAATTTTTCAAGGTAAACCACAATCTACATTGTAACTGGAGGGCAGAGAATATTATATTTTTTTAGTTCTTTTTAAATGGTAGACAATATGCGTGTTTGAATTCAGTAACACATTACTGCAGTGGGATGAAGATGCTTAGACCGAGGCCATCAGTCTAATCATCTTCACTGTACCAAAACTCAAGTGAATGAGGTAGTTGTTGAATGATACAGTACAGTAATATATATATAGCCTTCAATCAGATGCTGACACTATTTTAATGACACAGAGTAGAAATATAACTTCTGATTTTAAGCACAAAAAGTTTAGGACAGCATAAGAACTACCTCAAAAAATATTTTGGTTTTGTCCACACAACATGCGTATTTAATCTTTTATATCCCTCTCTCTATACATCTATATCTCCTTTCACTTCAGAATCAGAAATACTTTAATTAATACAAAATTATTTTGTTACAATTGTACACTTTGCATGTCAAGATATTAAGGAATATAAATAATAACAGAAAGTAGGTAAGTAAAAAAAAAAAAAATATATATATATATATATAAACAAATCTAAATATTAAGTAGTGTGGATATGTACAGTATTTTACAGTATCATCAACAAATGTAGCCCAATATAAATAGTAGCAGTGAATAAGGTAGTATTAGTAATAATGAGTGCAAGCAGAGTTGACAGGGAATGGATACAAAAGATCAATACACATTTAAGGAGTGTGGATATATGTGTGGACATATCCACATTTTACAGTAAATATATTTACAGTATTTACAATTTATTTACAATCTTAAAAACAACAGTAATGGCACAGAGGGCATCTGATCATGGACATATACAGTATATATGTAACGTAATATATTTATATTTATGCTGCTTTTGTATTGGTACATTCACAAAAACAAATCTGATTTCTTTTTCCACTACTGTTGGATTCCAGTTTAATATGGACAAACAATAGTATCATGTTTAATCTCTTTTGTCTGATGAAAAAACAATCTAACCGAACATATTAATAGTATAAGTAGCTGTACAATAAAGCAGGTTGTAACGTTTTTAAATAAACTATTCCACCTCAACAACAAACAGGTCGGCAGCCAACAGCTCTGGTTTTGGCTTAAAACGAAGGGGAAACGGGCTTCGACACAACACCTGCTGAATTTAATGCTAGGAAGAAAAAAACAAGCACTGAACAATGTTGTATTTGTAATAATATATTATAAAACCCGCAGAAACGTCACAAAGACTGCAAACAAAGTGTAAGTTCTGTGGCTAAGGTTAGATGCGTTACTGAGCTAACGTTAGTTAGCATTAGCTAATGTTTTGGACCATTATAGTCTTATTTTCGCTGCAGATCTGTTTTACACACCTCGTCCAGATCCACGTAGGGTCCAGCTCCTTCAGGAAACATCTCGTCCACTGCGGGTTTCATTACGTTTTAGTATCAGTTCAGCAGCGCTTTGTTTAAGATATGTGTGTGTGTGGCTAGCTTGGATAGCTTCTCGGCACCCGTAAACATAATCGTGTGCAACATTAAACTGGGCTCGGCTGACTCTACCAGCTAGTCGCAAGTAGTCCGCTTTTTAAAGTTACACAATAAAGTGGAGTAGGAGCAGTATCCCTAACAATTAAGGAAATTGATAATAACAAAAATAATAACAAAAGATTTAAAAAAAGGAAATTGATAATAGCAATATTAACCAAATAAATAAATATTTACTATATCAGTCGTGGAACAAGTATTCAGATATTTTACTTACGTAAACGGACCAATACAACAACACATAAATACTTCAGAAGTTAAAATCCTTTACTTAAAATCATTAAATACAAAATATACTTACAGTTTCAAAAGTAAAAGTACTCACTCTGCTGTAAAGAGTCTCCCGACTGATTTATTATTGAAATGAAATTATTAGATTGTTAATTCTGATGCATTAATATTTGAGCAGCATTTTATTGCTGTAGCTGCTGGAGGTGGAGCTAGTTTTTATCTATTTTAGGAAAAGGATTTTATTTATCTAAGGAGAGTTAATATTTATTTGGTTCAGTCCAGCCTAGGGGTCATATCCCTTCAAAGGGTCAACAGATAGATCTGAGGGGTTCTGAGATGATTAATGCAGTTGGAAAGCAGATATAACAAAGTTCTCAGAGGCTACACATCTGTTTTCATGTTTTGTACTTTTATCTAATCTTTCAATTTTTAAATATTTTATTTTACAATTTGAAGAGTTACTAAAATGTTCCCATGTGTGACAAGTCGAAAAGTTTGGAAACCACTGGTTTAATATTTTAAAGTATTTTACAAGCTTACATGTTTTTTTAATGTAAATCTTGACCTGAAAAGTAACTAGTACCTAAACTTGTCAAATAAATGCAGAAAGAAGAAGAAGAAGCAATATTTGCCTCTGAAATGTAATGGAGTAGAAGTATAAAGTACCATACAGGAAAAATACTCCGGTAAAGTACAAGTAAGTTATAATTGTAGTTGAGTTCAGTAGTTGAGAAAATGTACTTTCTTATTGCATGTCTATTTTAATTGTTGTAATATTTTAAACTCACCACTCAGTATTTTCTGTTTTAAGCTAGGGACAGAGTCGTGGCCAGAAAATTGATAACAAATTGATCAATAATATATCAATAATAATTTTAATAGCAACTCTGACTGAATTAAGGGTAACACTATATTACCAAAGTGCACTAACAAGGTAATAAGAGAATGCATTGTGAAGTCTCTACTTTATTTAAAGTCTATCACCAACAAAATAAATATGTTGAAAAATTCTTCACAGAATATATCCTTGTAACAGGAGGATTGGCAGATACAGTGACAGTGATAATAGCTGTACATTTTAAGAAACAAGAGTCACTGTATTTACTTTCTAATTATAAAGCTTCCTTAAAGTAGTAACCATTTCTTGAAAAAGATAAAAGAAGAAAAATAATAAAATTAAGGAGAAGGTTGAGAAGAAGAGATTTTACAGACATCATTTAATATTTGGGAAATGTTTTATTTATTACATGCTGATATTATACAATCCTACAAAACGCCTACTCACTCTACATTTGTATTCTATATGTTTGGCTACTCTACAAACAGCGGTATACTTGCTGTGCTCTTTCCATCGCCTCATTTAATGTCTAAATTAATTTCCTTTCTGTCAAAGTAAGACATGTATTCCTTCTTATCTAATCAGGATATCTCACCAGCTCCCTCCCTGCCCTCTTCCTGCCCCACCTGGCTCCTTCCAGCCCCCCTTTCAGTGCTCATGTCCCTCATTGGTCTCATATCCCAGGGTGTCCCCGAGGTGCTGGTGGGCGAAGAAGGCCCGCGCCATCTCGTTGATGTGGTTGTAGGCGCCGATGGATCTGAAGTATTCAACGTAGTTCCAGAAGTCAGTGGTGGAATAGGGCCAGTAGGGAAGAGCTGGTGGTTCATCATATGGTACTAAAGACACACAGCAGGTCACAGGAGACAACTTAAAGGCTCAGTCCACTCTCAGCATATACTGTTACAATCACCTTCCACTAGTTGTTACACTGGTCACACCTTCTCTAAATCTGCCCAACATTCAGGTTCAGTCAGTTCAGCCAGCATTTTGACAAATTCCCAGAATACCTATGCACAACCTTCAGAGAAGGGCTGTGAACCTGCAGCATGTGTAGGTGAAAGGAGGAGAGCAACTTTACATTTACAGCTGAGGCTGTTTTATTGTTTGAACTCAAAATCCTGCTTACATAAGTACAGCAAAATATAGACACAGGATCAAATGTAAAAGGACTAATAACATTATTAGTTTTAATGACTTTATAAACAGTTAGTGTGTAGTCCAGTGGTTCCCAACAACGGGGGTCGAGTCCCTCCAAAGGGTCACAAGATAAATCTGAGGGGTTGTGCGATGATTAATGGGAGAGGAAAGAAGAAAAACTAAAGTTCTGATTCAAATCTTTAATTTTTTATGACTTTTATTGTGAAATAGTGGATCGTTTATAGAGTTGTCAACAAGTCAACAAATTGGGAAAACCACTGTTTTATTACTTGTTTTTTATTTTATAAGCTTGTGTTTTTTAATGTAAAATCTTGACCTGAAAAGTAACAAACTACAGCTGTAGTATAAACTCGCATACAACTGAAATCTTTTGAGGTACTTAAGTACAGTTGCACCCAACAAAATATTGAGTCTTTAAAATTTTCCCTTCAAAAACCAAAGATGTTTAATTAGACAGTTTAATGACAAAAAATAATAACTTTTTAAATCAGCCTTGAAAACTATTTTTTTATACCCTAATTAAATCGGGACATATAGTGCATATCCTGCATTTACAAAACAATGCAGTTTCTTCCAGCGTTCACTTTGGAGCAACAGGTTGTTTACTTCAGCTAGAGGCCATTGTGTCAATGTCTTCACTGTGTATAAAATGTGTTCATTACAGTAAAAAACAAAAGACAGAGCTTGTTCATTTTTGGATTTCACGTGGTAGAATTAAATAGAACAGAAGAGGAAATGCAAGAGATGGAAATCTATCTGTAATATCTGAGGTATTTTGTGCTTGTTGCAAAATATGAAGGCATCTATAAAAAAAAAGAGATGTAGTACCTCCTTCTGGGATGACTCTGGCGTCTGTGAGGAGAGAGAGGAACAAATTAACATTCCCAGCATTCCAAGTCTTCTCACGTACAAAGACGGGATTCAAGCTCAGAAAACTGAGCTTTCTCCCAGAGGAGTGCAGTATACCTGCTCCCTCCTCAAATATTATTTCTAACCATTTCACACACACACAAACACACGCACACGCACACACAATCTGAAGCAAAAAGAATTCCTCCTCAGACAGAGTCCTTTTGTGCACATATGCTCTCCTATAGTTGCAGCGTCGGCACATCTGGGAGAATCCTATATGTGACTTACACACAGCTATTAATACACATGTATGCATATATGAAATTGGGGTTTAGTACTTTACAACTCTGCGTGTTTGTACTGTACAGATGAACTAAACTTCAATTGCAACACATAAACTGTTGCCTTCATGAGACTATTAAACTTTAAAGTATATAAAAAGAGAAACTCACCATTAAAATGACAAGCGAAGAGGCAGAGGAGAATACTGAGCCACACCAACAGCTTCATCTTGCCCTCCTAAATAAACAAACAGCCTGTGATGCTCTATATTTTTAACCCAATGGTTAAATGATTCCTTAACTCTTGTTTTGATGTTTACCATCATGCTGTGAGAGCAAAACTACATTTAGATATTCAAAACTTTAGCAAATGTTTACCTGTAAAAGGTCTGTGAAGCCGTGCAGAGAGATGCTGCTGTTCATCCGCTGGCTGAATGTGGTGTGTGAGGCTCAACGGAGGAAGAGCCAGTGGACCTTCACCACACACACACACACAAAAACACACACCGCCAAGCCCAGATTATACTGTATTTACACAGAGAAGTCCTTCCCAGGTGCCTGTAGGTGCACACTTTGCCCTCTCACTAATGATGTTACACGGATTAGCACTTCACCGAGAATACATTTTTTCTCTCGCTTGATTTCAGAGAAAAAGTTCAGACAAGCCAATTGTAATCAACATTTTTGCCACTGGAAGGATTTTGTGCTCAAACTTACATGCCACAAATCAGTTTTGGTTTGTTTGATTGATTCTGTGTGCTTCGCAATCAGCAACAATCAGAGCAGAGACCTAAACAGTGCAACCTTTCTGCTCTTGGTCAATGAGCAGTCATAGGCTACATGCCACAGTAGCTGTTTTCTTTCCCACAGTAACCTTTTACCGTGAAACCTTTGGATATCTTCTCATTTTGGACAGATAATGATGAGATTCCTCGAGTCTACTCTGCATCAAGAGTCGGTACAAAGCTCACCAGATAAATGATAAGAGTGACCAAACATCTGCTTCATGAGTAACTTTAATAAACATAGAACTCACTCTCGTGTTTTCTGCGTGTGTTTGTTTCATTGCAAAATTGTAACATGTCTTACTAGAATATTAAAATGCAGTTTACACACTTAACTTCTTGGTTAAAACAGAATTAAATTATTACAATATATTCATTGCTGTAACATATAGATTCAACGGGTTTTGTCAGGAATATGAGGGACAGTTTGAAAAATACAAGGTACAATACAATTTTACTTCACTTTTTAAATTGATTTTTTTCTTACATAATTTCTTTTTCAGCATCTTTGAAATGCAAAAAGAAAAATGAACAAGGCAGCAACAGTGAGATGCAGATACATGGGATTTTAAAATTAAAGACACCGGTGATGAGGAGATTGTGTATTTAATTTTAAAGCTGGGGTGGGCAATTTATTTCAGAAGCATTTGTTGTTAATTTTTTTCAAATTCTCTTAACATCCAGACAGCAATCAATAAATGTTCTGACATAAAAAATTATTAAACATTCGGTATTTGTCGCAGGACTGTGATCAGCATGCTGTTATGTGTTTTAGTGGAGTGGCTTTGCACGGAGGCCTGAAGGGAGGGGGTTTGGGATTTCTTCAGTTGGCTACCTTCAAGAAGTGGCTGTCTCTTGCTAGTTTCTCCAACATTGCCCACCCCAGCGTTAACATTTGGACTCCAGTATGTTTGCCCCATCAGTAAAGTCTTCACGAATCCCTAGTTATCCTTGCAGCCCGTCTGATCTGTGGCCTTCATCCTAAACAGGTCGATACCTTCGTTGAGCAGGAGCTGTCTGCCGTAGTTCACGGTCTCTGTAGGTGGGAAGCGTGTCCGGCTGAGGATCCAGGCGTATTCGACATGGAACAGTCGGAGGATTTCCGTGCAAGAATACACAACGGACAGGCTGGCGTAGTCGGTGGTCAGAATCCAGTAGGGGCTGTAGGGAGCAACTGGTAAAAAGAGATGATGATCATGATGATGATTATCATTATTTCTAAAGCAGAGTTTTTAAATTAATTTACAAAGACACATATTGGGGCCAGGCCAGCGTTAGGGTAAGTTTAAATCTTAACATGAAGATAAGTTAAGATTTAAACTAACCCTAACGCTCACCATGGCTCACAGTAGAAGTCCTGCGTGAGAGAGGGCAGATTGAGTCTGGGTCACATTAAAAACTATACCAGTGATGTAATGTTCAAACGACTGGAAAAGGCCATAAACATGTCCTGATTAATAGTGATTCACAGGCAGACATGCTCAATTACATTGCAAATGCTCTGAGGCTGCTGCATCATGTGTCAGCTGATATATCATCATTCACAAGGTATTCAGGCTGGTTAAGAGCTCAAATGAGCCTTAAGGGAATTTGTACAATTTTGTAACTAACTATATATGATTTTAGAATTATAATTGCCTTGCTTATAACAATAAAAAGCAAGACAAGAAGAAAAAGAATGAGAAGAGGAAGAAGGCAGTCTAAGAAGACAACAGCAAAGTCGACAGAATATGAAGAGGATACGGATGAAGAAGAGGACTTACAATACGAGAAGCCGACTCCAAGTTTGGCAGGTTCTCTCGGGTCTTGAACCACTGCTGTCCCTTCTGCTAACCTCACCTTGTCCTTACTGAGAGAAAAAGACAAAGAGACAATTCATTATAACTTTATTAAACTAATATGAGGGATTCCCCAAATCAGCAGACGTACATGCAAAGTTTTCAAGAGGGGAACAAAAAATATTAGTAAAAAAAAAATCCACCCGTAACACATTTTCACAGAATCAATTGTCAATCATCTCCCAGCACACAGAAGGTTTTGTCTGCAGTCTTTCCTGTCTGATAATACGTCAACCACAGTTGTGCCACTACCAGAACAAATTATTTATTCCGTCATATAAAACTATTATTTGAGTAATGCAATTTTATTTACATTTGAGCCACTATTTCAATCTGTATTCCATGTGTCAGTAATCTGAAAATGTTCTCCTGAACTGTAAAGCACTTTGTAATGTCTGTTTCAATATGAGCCCTATAAATTAATCATTGATTCACGGCACACGGATTTCACATCTTCAGATCCTGAAAAAATTAATTTTGTACAAATCGTTTTATAGCTTTAGAGTTGCTGGTAGGCTACATTTTGTACCCTTCGGCAGGCTAGTTGTGTCAAGGTTCAGGTTAAATTTATTTGTCATTCTAAAACACAATGAAATTAAAGCTGCTGCCTCATTTACGCTACACACACAGAACAGAAATATTTAACATAAAAATAAAAACAATACATAGTTACTTACATAAACAGGTAATGTGCAAAACCAGCATAACAAAGCTAACCAGCTGCTGGCTCTTGCTTTATATACAGTATAGCGTGCAGACATGAGAGTGACACAGGTGGGTCTGAAAAGTGAAGCCAACGTGGAACTGTCTTAAACCTGCATTCTTTCTAACTGCCAGCCGAGGGCGACTCCACTGGTTGCAAAAGAAAGTCAGATTGTATGTAAGCTTATAACAAACTGACCCTACGTCTACACTTGATTTATTAGCTCAGTAAACACTTTCCTGATGGGTTTATGGTCAGTCGCTAGTTTCAAGTCTTCTTCAACACAGCATGGTGTTTATTTAGTAATTATGATCCCATTTAGAGGAAAACAAACGATAAAGCAGGGGAGGCTTTAGGGCGGGCTGTCTTGTCCATGGAGACCTGTCAATC